CGTCAACGTCTATCTGAACTCGTGGTGGGAGGCTAACATTGTCTTCCCTAGAACCTCTACCTCTCATGTATTTTACCTTAGATGCGTTGATAGCAAGTCCAATCCACCTAGCTTCAGCCTTCAGTCTGATGCTCGTTTCCGCCATCGTCTCAAAGTTCCATGCCATGATGTCGATGTCATCGGCAAAGCCAAGAAGCTGGATGGACTTTCTGAAAATCGTGCCACTCGTGTCTATCCCAGCTCTTCTTATCACACCTTCTAACGCGATGTTGAATAGCAGACACGAAAGTACATCACCTTGCCGTAACCCCCTTCGAGATTCAAAAGGACTCAAGAGTGTCCCCGATACTCGAACAACGCACATCACTCGGTTCATCGTCGCCTTGACCAATCGCGTCAGTTTATCCGGAAATCCGTACTCGGTTTTCATAAAAAAGCGGGTTTTATTTTTTTTTTCAATTTGACCATGTTACAGGTGCTATAAATCAATGGAGATGCATTGTAGTCTAGTCGCATAGGAGTATTGAGCGAAAACCCAAAACTTGATTTATCAAAAAATATAATTAAAAAACGAAAGAATACCGATCGGTGATTTTTTTTAGATGTGGTGTAAAAAAGCCTACATTTTCAAGGAAAAATACTAAAACATACTGCGATCACTTTCAATAAACGATGAAAACAATAAACAACAAATATAATCAATGTTTTTCAATACCAAATCGATATTTTTTAATATGAGGTATATAATCATTAAAATTAAGATTAATAATCATTTTTGAAAAAATCGATTTTTAGACCACCCTAACATAGAAATGGTCACCCTAATGACAAAATAAAAATACGGCCTGATATTTTGCGATAAGGAACAAAACTACCAATTTTTACGAAATTCTGTGAACCACTTAATCGTTTTGCTATAGAATGGCTGAATATAGGGGAAATGTATGTAATGTTGGCCTAAGTGTCCCTAATTTGGACCCATATATAAATTCAGCTATCGACTAAATTTTCAATAGCAACCAAAAATATCCATTAGTACCGTCCCAATGACGCGTTCATTTAGATACAATTGATACATAGCAGATTTTTAGCGATGGGCCCAATCTTAGATCCATAGGCCAACATTAGAGCCATTTCCCCTATATATTTCACAAGCGATTGATTTAAAGCTTATGAAACATCAGGGAGCCGGCTAGTTACAGATCATTAGGATGAGATCCTATCCATTTATTTGTTTAAATTTCAATAAATCTTTACCAAATAACGTCTCAATAAATTAGCTCGGCTAGCTTGATGACTGTCGTATAGACAATTGGATTGTTTAACTTCGAAAAATATACCAATTTTTATACATCATCTAATAGAGCTTCGTTTTCTGAGGACAACGATATTTTTATCGATCGCTTAGACATTCATCTCGATTTTTAAATCAAGATTTAAATTTTTGATCATTGACACTTAATCTATTCGTAGACAGCTCGCTCCCATACAAAGCCCCACCAAGAGGCGCTAAGGTGGTGATTTTTGCTAATGAAAAATTGATGAAATTTTGGATTTCGGTTCCATTTTTAATGCAGATACCGAATATGTATTTACCGCAATACCCCTAAACAACCCAAATGGTGGTTTAAGACAAGATGAACGAAAGTCCATATCAAATCCTTCTCAAGAGCAGTTGTCGTCGTCAATGAGGTCACCACCGGGACCGAAATCTAGTAACAGCAATTTCAACGGGAGCTTGATCGTAATTGTTTTGTGATATAAGGAGTTCGGTGGCCTAGTAGCGACCGACTTTGCATACTGAATAGAATATTATGGGTTCAATCTTAAGCTCCTTCACATTATAGAATTTTAGTGTAAATCGGATTTATTCTTAATATGAGATAAAGCGTATTTAAATCAAGGTTGCAAAGACTCATTTCAGCTAAAATAATGTTTTTCGGAATAATAAAACCAAAAGATGGTATGATGGCATGTTTTACTTGTAACTTACAAGAAGATGTTACAAAGTATGCGTTGGAAACATAAAACCTGTAAATTTTACTTTCTATGAGTCACAATCAGCGATTTGCTGATCGCTGAGTGAGTGAGTGAGTGAGTGAGCGAGTTTGTGAAAAATCGCTGATTGTGACTCTCATGAAGTGAAATAAACAGGTTTAATATGTCAAACACATTCTTTGCAACCTCTTCTTGTATCCTACCAATTCAAAATTTGATCATGGCATCTAATTATTTCATAATTTAGAAAAACATTGTTTTAGCTGAAATGAGTCTTTGCAACCTTGATTTAAATTCGGTTGGAGGAACGAGTAGGTAAAATAAATAATATTCCAGTTTTAGGAAAAACACGTTGGTCGCAAATCTGTAACAAATCCTTCTCAAGGGTAGTTTTTTCGTCGTTGGTTAGGTCGCCGCCAGGATCGAAATCTAGTAACAGTAAGTTGGACAGGAATTTCTTCGTAATTTTTTTGTGGAATAAGGAGTTTGGTGGCCTTGTGGTGACCGATTTCGATCTCTGAGTGATTTCTCGTGGAAGTGCAAAGGTGTTCTTGGCTTTCATTAAAGCGATTATTACGTCAACATATGCCTACCCATTATTTTCTTGACCAGCATTCGGACGTGGCCTGCGCTGGTATTGCCTGGTTTTAGATCACCAGTATTTACACATTGAGGATGATTGCTAGTCCCAAGCAACGTCTATTGCACAGACAAACAGACATAACTCTCGCAAGTTTTTCATCGAACAAGCATTTAACGGTCAATTTAAAAGTATCGTAGTTGGTAGTACCGCCACCTGTGGCGCGCACAGTCAATTCCCTTGCGTTTGACGTTTACAGACTACCGCCATCTGTTCAGCGTACTACCCACCACAGTGTACTCAACAGATGGCGGTAATGTGTTAGCGACGATGTTTTACAGCGAGACATATTCAATGTGTTATGTCTGTTTGTCTGTGTCTATTGGTTATCTGTGTAATTGCAGCTGATCTGACAATAACGGAGTTGTATCAACCGGTGGAAACTAACGATTTTAAATTGGCTCACTAATTGACTAGCCTATTGGTCACAAGCAAACGATTAACTACCCATAACTAACTAGTCGAAATTCTAGTACTACACTGTGTTTGTTTTGATTCGCTATGAAAGTTCGACAGATAAAATGAGGGGTTCGTGGATTTTCCTATGTTTCGAGGGGTACATCGATTAGCTTGGGACCGAAGAGATTACCAGAGCTGAGCCAAAAAGTTGAGCACGTTTCTTCGGGACCTTCTGGTCTTAGAGTTGTATCCTCGGGCGATCAATCATGCTCATACTCATACTCAGTGCAGAGCTGGTAAATATCACGACCGTCATGTGACAATGAGAAAACAAGTCCTCTCACTATCTAGACGAAACTACCTATCATGAGATTTCTTGTCATTTTCCTATGATCCAGCATTCATGAGAATAATTGCCATTCGGCTTTGACATCAACATTTCTAACTGATTTAGATGAACTTAGGCAAGCAGCAGTATGAAATTGGCAGAGTGTATATTTTTTTTTAAGATTTCCGTGGTACAAGTAACAATAATACCAATAAATGGGCTAGTAATAGCGATGTTAACAAAACTGTCACGTTCTGTCACGACAAAAAAATCGATGAGATTCTGAAGTAAATCGCTATCATCGTTTTCTCATCCGGTGATAATGACAGAAATATCTCTGTAAATATCGCGTGAGATCCCCTGGCTCAGAGGGTTAGTTTATTGTTCCAGTAAACCGGCAATTATAATCATTTTAAGTACAAGGTGTGAATTCTTATGGTGAGGCAGCTCCCCACACCTGGACCCTACCTATCGACTCACCAACTCATGAAGGGGGAACCAACGGCTTTACCAACAATCAATTCGAAACTAAGGATTTTAAATTGGCTCACTACTTTACTAGCCTATTGGTCCCAAGCAAATCGATTAACGTATCCCATTCTAGTATAAATTTCAGTACTACGCCTATGTTTGTTTTGATTCGCTATGAAAGTTTGACAGATAAAATGAGGGGTTCGTGGATTTTCCAATGTTTCGAAGGGTGCATCGATTAACTTGGGACCGAAGATAGTACCAGAGCTAAGCCAAAAAGTTGAGCACGTTTCTTCGAGACCTTCTATGCTACTAGTCTTAGAGTTACCTCTATGGTTGTATGTAGTTGCTTTTGCTGTGCGATGCGAGTTGTGATGAACATTTCTTTCAGATGAAAAACGTTTACAATGCTTGGTTTTAAACTCAGATTTTTGCTTGGTTTTATTTTAGTCAATCACTAGAAGATCATTCTCGGTTTTACAATTATGCTCAGTTACATCGGTACCTGTTTTGTATGCTAGTATCTTTTTTTCTTTTTTCTTTTTTGCTGATTGGTTGTTTCAAGATATTCGTGATGACGCGTGTGAATATTACTTTGGAATATCATTTACTCGCAATATATTTAAAGGGATTCTTGCATTGATGCATGTTTGCTACTAATTTTACTCTGAATGGTAAACGCTCATCCCACGAAATTCTTTATTTATTTTCTTTAAACAAATAGATCGCTACGAACAATGCTCGATGAACATTCCAAATGGTCCTATCTGCTTTGATCGATTCTCTTCATCGACTTTCTCTTTTCATAACCACTGCTATGCAAACAGATTTCGCGCTAATTCTACCACATAGTTTGATAAAGGAGGTTCTTATCTAGCGTCCAAAACGTCAAATACAACAGGGAAAGGTTTTGCAGCTGAGTTATTAACGAAAGAGAAAGTCGATGAAGAGAATCGATCAAAGCAGATAGGACCATTTGAAATGTTCATCGAGAATGGCATGCAGCGTTTCAGCTAATTCAGCTCCAGCAGGCTACAGCAGACCGAATGATTTTTTATTCCATTTCACAATACTTGGTGGCACCCAGGATAAGTTTCTTCTGAAGCTAGTATGGATCGAGAGTGTTCTGAATTCGTCTTGCTACGTGGTCCGCCTGGTTGCTCGTTTATCCAAAGATACAAAATTAATTCATGCCTGTTAGAACTTTGCAGAGGAAACTCATTAGATTTGATGCACAATATTTTTAAGTGGTTTTGCTGTAACTACACAAAGAGAAGCAATTTTTTTTACTGCAGAGGTTTCAACTCTCCTCACAACAATGCTACTACATTTTTTGGTGAAATACAATTACATGTTTCTTGTTTTTTTTTTTGTTATTTTAGGTAGATTACTTAACGATACCGAGAATTTAGTGATTTAGTTTTAAACTTGTTTTGTTTTGCTTACATTTCAGAGAATATATTATACTTCATGTTTCATTAAATATGTTTGCTTTGTGTCTAGCTGGCAGATCAGCGTAGACAGTGTACACAATTACCCATAAAATACTAATAAATACGTAAGAATGTGCACCCGTCTTCCTGGGGTATCGAGGACATATTGAATCATTTGCTTCATTTGCATTAAATTTTTGCACGAACCTTTTCTGTTGTGCGTGCGCGCTTGTTAGTAGAAAGCCTATACGACACAGAAGCATTCGAGTGCACATTTACTAGAAATATTGTTTTTTTTTCTGAATGTGGTGATTATTTTTTGCAGATTTTTAACGAACATTTTTCCTTGGATTTCTATATTTATTTATGCATAATCATTTCCTCCATACTTTGCGTTACAGCTTGTTAATGAAATTATGTTAAACATATTGCGGACAATAGGTAGTACGCATTTTGGGTGCTTCACCCTATCTATACAAAAATTGATAAAAATATAAATGAAACACAAAGAAACACAATCGATGTAGACTGATAAAATCAATAAAAAGGTTCACTTGCTGTATTTGTCTTGCATCATTACGATCTTTATCATGAAATAGTAGAGTTTGATAGAATAAAAAGTAGAAGAATATTTGAAAGTGTCTTGTGGATTTGTGTTATATCAGTTGCAGTAGTTAAAACTTGTCTGAAAACTGTTGATTCTGCACAAACAAGCTTTCCTTTAGATCAGTTTTCAAAAGCTGAAAATTGTGATGAATCTGAGTTTAAACTTTTTTTTTATGTTTTTAGTAGCGTCCGCCATAGCGTCCGGAACGTCCAGCGCGTCCCCGTCGGCTCTTGGCGGGTGTCTTCTGTTCCTCCTTCTCCGGTTTGTCTTCCTCCTTGGAGGCATCGTCAGCCTTGCTTGTCTCACCGGAAGAGGCGGTGGATTTGTCGTCCGCAGCAGCGGACCCGTCGCCCTTATTCGCTTCGGCGTTCTCCGTCTCCATCGGCTCCGCCTGAGATTCACTGTTACCGTTAGCCTCCTCGCTCTTGCTATCGTCGGCCATGCTGGCATCAGCGGATTCTAGTTGATTCAAAAAGATAAATGGATACATGTGGATGTTTAAGTAAAGATTAGCTAAATCAACTATTTTTAGTTTAAAATCTACGTTGGAAATATAAATCTGCCACTGCGTTAAAATATTTATCTTATTCAGGGTAGCTTCCACTCACTTGCTATACAAAATTGTTTTTCAGGATTATGGAATGATAAGGTTTTAATGATAATTAGTACTTGTAAGTTACAATCAGGTTTTATGATATAATTATAAAAGTTAATGATTCCAGAATTCCGAAAAACATTTTTTTTTATAGCAAGTGAGTGGAAGCAACCCTGATCTTATTTATCCCATACATTACTTGATGTCGATTGAATATGGGCTCACGTTTTCCCCGACCAGTTTATATGGATATAAATGTGTGCATTCGAAATCATAATTTAAGTTTCACTGAGCTTAATACATGTTTAGCTCGATTTTTGTGTGTTATAGTTACTTTGACACATTTTAGGTCATACGTGACCCTGTTGCTGGCTTGTCCGGGGATGAGATTTAAACTCGTAACCTTTACCGTGAGATGCATGGACGCCTGGCCCATCCCCTTTAGAGTATTTACAGAGAGCCATTCAATAATTAGAGCCAATAAAGCCAATAAGCTTTTAGAGGAAAAAGGGGTGTTTGACATTTGCTTACGTTTTCTTACATGAGAGAGTTGTGCGATGAAGGCTTGCCGTGGGTCGTATGAATAAAAAGTGTTTATTTCCCGTGTTTCTCTTGGTTTGAGAGGCTGCAGTTTGAATGCATTTTAGGCCTTCGACAGACATACAAAGTACAACGTTGTACCATAGAGGTAACTCTAAGACTAGTAGGTCCCGAAGAAACGTGCTCAACTTTTTGGCTCAGCTCTGGTACTATCTTCGGTCCCAAGCTAATCGATTCACCCCTCGAAACATAGGAAAATCCACTAACCCCTCATTTTATCTGTCAAACTTTCATAGCGAATCAAAACAAACATTGTGTAGTACTAGAATTTCGACTAGAATGGGGTACGTTAATCGATTTGCTTGGGACCAATAGGCTAGTCAAGTAGTGAGCCACTTTAAAATAGTTAGTTTCCACCGGTTGGTTGTACTCCTTTAAGATAGTATCTTAAATATTTCATTTTGCAGTACAAGCTGCGTATTATTAATACGCTCTTACTTGCTGCAAAACCTTTCCATCTTTGTTCATCATCGACGACAATAGCCTCGAAAACACCGAAAGTATCCTCGCGCAACTCTCATTTGTTTCGACTAATTCGATAACAAACACATATTTTCGTTTTACAAATCATATGTTTAAGCTTTTGGTTGTGTACTGCTCAAAGACATTCGCGGCTACACGAAATAATCAAATAAGTTTCATAAGCTGATTATGTAAGATGAATTTTAAACTTGCAGTAAATAAAGCACATCATTTCCGCATTCGACTCATTCAGAAGACAATTCTGATATTTGTTAGTTTGACTGAACCACGAGCACCAAATTGTCGGGGTACACTGGCAATATACTGGAGTTGTCAAGTTGCCCGCGGGTTGGGTCCATTGTCGCCTGCAGATAAAGCCTAGAAGTATGCAATCTAAGACTAAAGATAAAAATGCATACACGTTAGGGTGGCTCAAAACTATCGATACTATGGATTCCATAGATAAACGGAGGCACAAAAAGTTGTTTTGGCAACCATGAAAAATAAATGATCTTACTGGCATCCGTGAAAAAAGTTCATGCCATCATAGAGCTCTTCGTTGTGCAGTTTTGTTTTGTTTCGCACGTAAAAGTTCAAAATGAAGTGCAAAGCAAATCTTTGCAACAATGAATCGAGGAATAGTTTGCTTTATCTTTCCTTCTTCCGTTTTCCGCGAAATAAATCGGAATGTGGAGTGTGGAAAGCGTCTTGTGCTCATGATATTACAATACTACTCCCTCTAATAACACCATGAAGACGTCATGCTCGTTGGCTACACTAACTGACAGTTCGTTTGGCTACATTATACTTTGCCTCCGCTTATCTATGGAATCTATAGTATCTATACTCAAAACTGGGTGATGCGGACACCGAACTCGGAATCCAACCATTTACGAGCTGTCAAATCGACCCAATTTTTATTCTCCCAGTATGAAGAAACGAATGCAAGTATTGCAGTCCACTAATATGAAAAATATATTCAAGGTCACCCCTAGCCATTATATTTATTTAGGGATAGTGAAATTTTTTTCCATGTCTCTAAACTTTTACATAAAAAAATTGTTCATTATGGTTTTCCCATCTCTTTCATAAATATACGAACGTAAACAAGTAATGGAAAAGTCAGGATTGGGCTTTACGCAAAATGCAGTTTGTCAGCGCTTGCTGCCAACCAATTAATCGATTATTCCAGTGCTGCCAACATTTAAAAAAATCACTTTGCACCACCCATTTTCAAAATATCGATATTGTGCCACCCAGCGATTCTGAGTCAGATCCTAATCATTCTCTAAAAACTTGAGATCACTTGGTTACAATCCCATACTACACTGTCCCTTTGAAGTGACCTTTTTGTTCTCCTCAACCTAGCCTTTCACCATCATGATCTTCGAATAAACTTGCGATCTGTACTTATTATAGGAAATTTCCTAAGCTTCAACGTTTCCTAATACCAAATATTAATGGAACCTAACCGTTAATCAACATTGTGTAATGGTGAAACACTAGTATGTGGTAAGGGTTGCTTCTACTCACTCATAACCCAACAAACAATTGAGAGCTCTTATAAAACACCTGAGTTGATCAAACATTGAATAATAGCTTCCAGAGTTGAACAAGAATGTAGTTGTATTGCCTTTTTGGTTAGAAGCTTCAAAAGCTGCTTGGAGCACTCTTAAATGATTGTTTACGTTCGGTTTAACTGTTTGACAGGAGCCATATAGGATGTGGAATAAACGCATCAAAACAAACCATTGGGAGCTCTTATACAACACCTGAGTTGATCAAACATTGAATAATAGCTTCCAGAGTTGAACAAGAATGTAGCTGTATTGCCTTTTGGTTAAAAGCTTCAAAAACTGCTTGGAGCACTCTTAAATGATTGTTTACGTTCGGTAAAACTGTTTGACAGGAGCCATATAGGATGTGGAATAAACGCATCAAAACAAACCATTGGGAACTCTTATACAACACCTGAGTTGATCAAACGTTGAATAATAGCTTCCAGAGTTGAACAAGAATGTAGTTGTATTGCCATTTGGTTAAAAGCTTCAAAAGCTGCTTGGAGCACTCTTAAATTATTGTTTACGTTCGACCAACCACCAACCACAATTTTGTTGCTAAAAATAGCACAAGTGATAGGCATGTTTATATGACCATAGGGCAATGATTATTCGACTGCAAGAGAAGTCACTCAAGATGAGCTTCATATACTTCTCTCATATGATCAAAATATGTATTCAAGAATAGAGCAGATGGAAACAGAAGCGGCTGGCAATCCGGGATCATGAGTTCGAATCTTGCTTCGAGAAACCCTCGGTGGAGTAGAGGTAAATTATATATAGGTGTTATATTAATAAATGCAAACATTAATTTAAGACATATATCATATTATCAACGATAACATTTCTAGATAAATTCTCTCAATTAATGATTAGAGAGATTAATTGAAAGAATATCAGGCAAAGATTAAACAGATGCCTGTTGCTACTTCCTCCATGATCACAGAATGTGAATTATGGCATAATTACATATTTTTTCAATGTGCACAAATAAATTAAATTAATAAAAACTGTACAAGCAATTATTTTGGCGTACCACGACAATTGTTAAACTAATTTTAATCTGTGAATATTGTGAGTACTTACACAACGGTTATTAAGGAGTCATTAAAAAGTGCTATAAACGCTTTTCACCGCTTGCTGTACAATGATTATTTAGGAGTCATAAAAGAGTGCAACAAACGCCTCTCAGGTTTACTCTCTACTAAATTTCAAAGCTGCTGTCAAGAAGTATCTACAAACGTTGTATACGACCTTTCTCCAAAATAATAAAGCTTGAGTTTAAATATGTATCTATAAACGTTGTATAAAAGTTGCTTCTATCCGGTTGTTAAGGAGTCATTGAAAAGTGTTATAAACGCTTTTCACCGCTTGCTGTTCAATTAATATTTAGGAGTCATAAAAGAGTGTAACAAACGCCTCTCAGGTTTCCTCTCTACTAAATTTCAAAGCAGCTGTCAGGAAGTGTCTACAAACGTTGTATAAGAGCTTTCACCAAAACAATAAAGCTTGACTTTAAATATGTATCTATAAACGTTGTACAAAAGTTGCTTCTACTCCTATACCGCGTATACATATAATGCTGTAGTTGAACAGGTTCTCCAAACCAGTGTAAACAAGAGTTTTACAGAAGTTGTAATAAACAAATTGTGCAGTTATTATTCAGCATGCAGTTGAATCAAATCACAATGGAAGCGTTTCTTCAACAAGAAATTGATTTTGGGTAAACGTTTTACTGAATACGTTAGACAACACCTTTGTGTTGCAGTTGTATAGGTTCTCCAAACCAGTGTAAACAAGGGTTTTATAAAAGTTGTGGTGAACACATTGTGCAATTATTATTCAACATGCAGCTGAACAAAATCAAACCGAAAGCGTTTCTTCAACTGGAAATTGTTACTTGGGAATGTCATAATGATATTTTGAGTAAGTTACAAGAAGAGTTTGTGAAGTACGTGTTTGACTCATAAAACCTATCATTTTCGTTTTCAGAGAGTCACAACTAGTGATTACATGATTCGTGTGCGCTCACTCTGATGGTGACTCTCTGAATAAAAAAAAATGGCATCTCTCAGGCGAAATACGTATCTGTCAAAATGCAAATATTGTAGTGGAATTAAGTGGAAACACTCATTAATTTTTTAAAGTATTCTACTTTATCCCTTCTTTTAATTATATATTATGACGGCTTCCAAGCTTTTGGGATGTTTTACTAAAGAGTTATAGAATTCATGGTTTTGATTTGTATACTTAGGGGAAATGTATGTAATGTCGGCCTAAGTGTCCCTAATTTGGGCCCATACATAAATTCAGCAATCGACTAAATTTTCAATAGCAACCAAAAATATTCGTTAGTACCGTCCCAATGACGCGTTCATCTAGATAAAATTGGTCAATCGCAGATTTTTAGCGATGGGCCCAATGTTAGATCCATAGGCCAATATTAGGGCCATTTCCCCTACTTTCTTAGTGAACAAGTGAACAATGAAAAAGTACGTCGATCTTCAAGTGGTACTTTCGCTAATTATACGTAAATTAGAGTACTTGAATCTTGATAAGTTTTCTTAGAAATTTCGTATATAATTTGGTGTAATTTTATTTTTATTTTTAGTGAGTTTTGATTGATGAAGCTTTCAAGTAGTAGGTGAAATGCGCAAAATGCAAAAATTTTAGTGTATATAAAAAAAAAACATAAAATATTCCTTTAACATTCCTTATTTTAATTTTATATAAGGTTTTATCAAACTTTTTCTTGTAACTTATATGTACAAAATATCGGTCATCAAATGATTCAAAAATTCTGAAAAACTTTGTTGCATAGTGAAGTGAGTTGAACAAAAAGTAATTTTCATATTAAATTCAAAGGTTCATTGCAGTACACTGAGGAAAATCAAACATTGTTTTCATGTTTCCGCACATGGATTTTTGCAAGAGCGCACAGAATCATTCTTTGTCTGAACATCAATTAAATACTTTTGATGGTACTCAGGGATTTCCCAGTGGCTTTTGTTTAGCCATAAAGTATGTATACTGTTTCCTCGGTGTATGAGATCGCAACCAAATGAGCTGAAAGTGTGGGAGGATGATCAGAAACTGTTTTGGAATCCATTGAGCTGGGTGAGGATTAATGTATATTTTGAACTACCCTAATACACGGGCGAACCGAACATAGTTGTCAAATATTTAGTGCAAAATGATTTAAAAAATATACCTTGAAAATCGATGATAACCCATATAACTCCCAAACAGAAACTGGTCAATTGGTGCATTTTGAATAAAAATCCTGAATACTACAGAAAATTTCATTGATGCTCATTCTTTTCAACACTCCGAACACGATGCCTCCGGTAAAATGTGCAACGGCAAACTTGCAATGTTTGAAAAATCATAGCTCAGCCATTTATTGACAAATTTAATGGATAGTTATTTACTGTTTTGGGGCCATTTTAAACTACACTTTTTAAAGATTTATTCGATATCAATAGATTTAAATTGTATCGATAAATTTCTGAACAATGATTTTTCAAACATTGCCAATTTGCTTTTACGCATTTTACCTTAGGCATCGTGTTCGGGGTATTAATGTCAGTACCGACTAATAGTATCTAAATGTATGCATTACTTTTTAAATGACAATTCTTTGTTCAGAATGGATATAATGTCGGCCTATTAGGGCCCATTCATAAATTCAGCAATCGACAAAATTTTCAATAGCGACCAAAAATATCAATTAGTACCGTCCCAATGACGCAGTTCATCTAGATAAAATTGATAAATAACAGGTTTTTAGCGATGGGCCCAATCCTAGGTCCATGAATCAACATTAGAGCCATTTCCCCAATGTCCAGTATTTTTTTATACGACACTCGATAATTTAATCACCATGTCGAATACACAGCAAACATCATTTGTGATGGGTCACCAGTGTGAAAACTGATACCTAGTAGGCCGTAAATCAACAGTACCGATAGAAGCAACGGGGTTCTCCTTAGCAACTCAACTGTTTATGTTATTATTTCGTAGGGTCTTACAGGGTCGCATTGAACATGTCCCTCCCAGAGGCGATGTTTAATAAGAGACGCGCGAAGACTGAAGCCAAAAGTTCCAATCGAACCGTCAAACGCGGTTCCAATCGAGCAATGTAAATAAATACGAGCGCTTCACGAGGAAAGCGTGAGGAGTATTGAGATTTAAATAATTATAAATAAGTTTGCGTATGAAAAGTGCAATTGGATACTCTTTGACTTTTGGAATACAAATAAAACACAATTAAAATCTTTTGAGATTATTTTTTTTATATTTACATCAATGTCAAACAGTAAATATGTTTAAAAAATCACAAAGCCGCTGATCAACTGTTAAGTTTTGAATCACTGGGTTTGACAGTTTAGGGGGGGTTGACAATTATCCACGGCCCATACAAATTTTATTTTTTTGTATGGACAATTGTCTACGCAGGGGGAGGGGGGGTCAAGAATCCCAAAAAAAAATGTCTACGTAGTTTATGAACAGTCCCCAGGGTAGGAAGCATGAATCGCAGATTGCATAATTTTGCGTAACGCTCTGTAAAATATCCCCTGCAATGTAGTCTATTTGGTTTCACTCAGTGTTGTCAAAAAAATGATTATTCAAATACTTCTTTTGAATACCGATACTACTGAAACGATTAAAAAGATATCCGCTCAAATTTAAAGTCACTCGAAGTAAACACAAAATTGCGGGTTGCCAAACCTTGCAGACAAAAAAACTTTGTTGGCCTGCAACCAGATTTACTTTTATTCTCTCTGCGCGTCTCTTATAAAACATCGTCTCTGGTCACTACAATAGTCCTACCAACAATCAATGCGAAACTAACGATTTTAGATTGGCTCACTACTTGACTAGCCTATTGGTCTCAAGCAAATCGATTAACGTACCCCATTTCGAGGGGTGATTCGACTAGCTTGGGACTGAAGATAGTACCAGAGCTGAGCCAAAAAATTGAGCACGTTTCTCTGGGACCTAATTGTCTTAGAGTTACCTCTATGGTCCTACCACGATAATGTCGGATTAATTATTGGAGATTTTTAATCTATTTAGACTCCTACGCTAAAAATAAGTACACAGTAACAAATCGCACCGGTCATAAAACATAAATATTGAACGTCTCAATGTTGTCTAGAGCAGGAATTCATTAGTGAAGCTTGATTTTCAAGCTTGAGCTTAAAAATTACTGTTCAATTATTGTTTGCATAGAAGTCAAAAGAGGTACATAATGCGCAATATGCATTAGGGGTACTTACAAAGCGCACAGCAAACGTATACACCCTCGTAAATGAGTAAACTTCCATTACACTCCAATGGACCCTGGTATTTTTACGATAGTGCATATGTTTGCGATGCGCATAGTGAACACCCACATTATTTCTAAGTAGTTGAGAATACGCCTAAATATAGACAATCTATCCAGTTTTCGACATAAAATCGTTTTGGGCCCGTACAAATAATACTTAACGCAAGAAGTGATGTGGGGTTATCTTAACTTAATTACACAATTTATGGAATGACCTATGTGCACCTGTTTCGATGTAGGGCAAGTATACTAGATCTGTAAATACGGCTTAAAACCTCAAAATTTTCTGAAAATCAAAAGTTCTTCCACTTGATTTTATTGTTAAATTAGGAAAACTAATCTTGAACATTTATGTAAGTCGCATGGCCAAATAGGGGAGCACTAGTGTATAACACATATATTTCCAGCAATTTTCAACAACATTTTTTGCTGTTACCCGTCAAATTAGTGAGATGATCAGCATGTGAAATGTAATCTCTGTTTGTTTGTTGTTTTATTATGGATTTTTAATTGTGAATTATTTCAAATTATTTGCCTGAAAAAAATTCACACCAAAAATAAAACCATGAAAAAAATTCATTATCCAAATTTAAGATCTTTTCACCCATATTCCACGCCCATACATGGTATTAAGTCAAGTTTGATAAAACAGTTCCAAAGATGTTTCCATTCGACTCCGACTATGAATGAAATCATTCGTAGTGATTTTTCTGCTCTAGATTGAGTTCTTTTCCTTATATTATTCATTTTTGGTCATGTACAACATCCGTACCTTGGTACACGGTCGATACACGTAGCATACTTCAACTTTTAGTGAGAGGGAATGAAACGGAGAGAACTTAGGGTAGCTGATTGATGAGAATTGCATTTGTTACTAATTGATTGCATCATAAAGGTAAATCCCAGAGCCCAATTCTTTCAATATGTCAAAGATAGATTATCCATTTCAAAACTATGGGCAGCGCTTTATAGTTATCTCATGTCATTCTAATAATATTGTGATTAACTTATACATACACAAGCTGAATGTGTAACTTTTTAATGTATAGAAATGTAGCTACAAATTTAGCAAGCGATAAGGACAAAATCGATTATTATTCTTAATCCGTACCTTCACCCGTAGCCTCCGATGGGTCGTACAGCTCGGAGTCCTTCTTTTCAGCATCGCCGTTCTCCGATTTCTTCTCCTCGGCAGCCAGCTTCTGCTTCTTGGCGGTTTCAGCCTCCTCCAATGCGACGGCGGCACGCTTCTGAGCGATACGCACCTCTTGGGCCTTCTCGTTCAGGAAGCGAATAAACGCACGGTAGTGAGAATGCGTACGTGCGTGAATTTCACCGGTGGCTTCGTTATCGAAGTACTTGAAACAGATGCGGCACTCGTGGCACTCGAGCTTGCCAATCAGGCTCACACCGAGCGCACGGTTCTTCTTGTACCGTGGCAGCTTGGTGTCGATTTCCGGAGCGATTTCATCACCAACCTTGTAGTCAAGTATACAATCCTCGCTTTCTTCATCCTTGACGAGTTCGTCCTCTGGGACTTCCTCGTCGACCTTGGATTCAGCCGCAGCAGCTCCCTCTTCCGTGCTGGGCTTCTCGGCTGCTGTTTCCGAGTCCGGCTTGGCATCTTCGCCATTCTCAGCGGGCTCGGTCACAGTGGCCGAGGGTTTGGTTTGTTCGGTTTTTTTCGCTGCCGAAGAGGCAGCATCTTTCTCCTTCTTCTTATTCTTCGGGGCCGTTTCTTCACGAATGTCTAGCAATTCATCATTAGCAGTGGAGATAACCAATTCTGCAAGTACAAGAAAAATAACCATGTAAAATATGACTCATAAACCAAGCAGGCCAATTGATGAACTCACGTTTTGCTTTCTTCTCGATGTCAAGTTTGCTTGGCTTTGTCTTACAATTCTTCATGTGAACCACAGACAGCAAATGGTCATCATACTCGGTGCGGTTGTGGAACTCCAGCTCGCATTCATCACACTTCGGGTGCAAGAATTTCTTCAGATCCAGATGCTTGTCGGACCGACGATGGGCAATGATGTGCCCGTAGAAGAACAGTTCGCACATCGGACAGTACTCGCGCATCTTGGAGTAGTTCTTGGCCTTGCCCATACGCTTCAGCCGATCGATCTCGATCGTCTTCAGCTGCTCGGCAATACGAGCTTCCTGGCGGAGCAGAGTGGCCCGCATGCGGTAGCTCTCCTCGATGCTTTCCTTCATTACCCGATGGGTACGACCGGTGATGTGATTCTCGAAGGAGGTCGCATCGTACATGTGCTTGTCGCACATGTGACAATACAGGTACTCATTCGAGACGTCGGCGTACGGTGATGTCTTCGACTGCTTGTTGTTTCCAGCATTGCTTGAGTTGCCTTTCTTATTTGCTCCCTGCTGCTTGTTGCTGTTTAGTGGTTGGAATGGGTAAGACAAGAAGGAAACGTATTAATTACTCGGTTCTGGTTTAAACTGTACTAGTATATCTTTTATCGGTTTCAGCTTTTATTGGAAAATAATACGATGCTTATATACAGTAACAGAAGTATTCCATTGAGAGTTTCCCATACCGTTGAGCATTTGTATCCTGATATAAAATTTAAAACGTTTTCGGTTTTTCAAATGTTTAGCATTTAAATTACTTAACAGAATGTCTCGCCACGTTATATTCAAACAGATGTAAAATATTTTAAACGTTGGACTTGAAAACATTCAGAGGTGCACACAATTTGACATTTAAAAATTGAAGAAAAATCTCTCAAAATTACAAAAGCATTATTCGAATACGAAAAAAATCTTTATACTTCGATTCGTAAACATGATGCATCAGAATCATAATTATTGGTTGTTTTAATAAGACAGTGACACACATTAAATTCTGTATATTTAATTTTAATTTTTAATTTTGTTTATATGCTTCTAAAACTTGTTCTGAAAATAGCTGAGCTGACGATTTGATGTTTGCCAACGAATTTCCGTCTATTGATTCGGAGACATATTTATAATATACCAAAAGCTTCTTAAAAAATTACAATTTTGATAAATTTTCTAAGGATGTTGTAAGATTATTTCTAGTATTTTTTTTCACCCTAATTAAGTCAAGATAGTTTATTCGTACGACTGATATAAACTAAATTTATTATCACAGGTTAAATCGTATGTGATGGCAAATCATATCGTTAACAATGCAAATTTCAATATTCACCCCTTTTTTTGCCATTTAGCCATTAACCTTTTTTGTGTTTTAGGGGAAACGCTCCTATAGTTGCGGTACGTTAGAAGCGTTAGGTTCCTATAGTTGTGCATGGAGATTCAATACACAACTATAAGAAACCTAACGCTTCTAACGTACCGCAACTATAGAAGCGTTTACCTTATATACGATTTTTTGCCATTTTGCAGTCTGAAATGTTGCTTTGAAAAAAAAAAAACTGGGTTTGAATTTTTACAAAATGCACTTCAGTGCAATCAACTCAAGAGAAAATTTATGAAAAAAATGCTGTGAGTGTGAAAAGCAATAAACTTTGAATTAAATATACCTATCTATGCATTTTACTTTTCATGCTCAAATTAGATATATGTTCTTAAACCAGTATATATTTTTTCCCAAAACATGGAAACAGCTGCAAAGGGTTATCCGTGACAAAATTGAGCGCTTAAATTAAAATCCTGTTTGTTCTCTCGAAACTGTTCAATACACTTACAACCCTTTACTCACTTACTTCTAACTGAAGCGATTCAAAGCACCATCAGATGTGATTGCCATAGTCAAAAAGATCAACGAGTTTGTGGACACGATCTTGCATCAAAGTAGTGAAAATCTTCTTCGAGAGACTTTTGAAAATAAAAAACGTCTGTTAGTATCTCTTTTTATAATGAAGCTATACTCAATTAAATTTATAAAAATTATAAATTATATTGATTATCTCCAAATTTTGTAATAATGTACTTTAAGTTGTGTTCTAGAACACTAGAAAATGTGTGTGTATTTTCTCCATGCTGAGTAATTGACATTTGAAAAGAGCGTATTTTGCATGTGATCTTTAAAAGATATCGATTGACATTATTCGGTAAAAAGTTCTAAAAGTCACTTGAAAACGACAATCACGAAACATTTTGAAACTAAAGATTTAGTGCTGATAAATTAGATTTGTATGGTACAGCTTAATTAAATTCTGAAAACTTACTATAAAATAAGAACTCTTAGGCCGTTCGCAATGCTGTTGTATTTTATAAGGACTGTTTCAATTTGAAACTAGAACAGAAACGCACCTCTCGCAATGCTGAGTTGCAGTTTCATTATTCGAGCACTATTTTGCACCAGATTTGCAACTGCTCGACTATTCTGTTTTATTTCTGAGCGAGTTTGAAACACGAATGGAACTCTGTTTCAAATTTCTTTGGATGTGTTAGAGATGTTTCAAGAGCTTCACAAATAAAAACGGAGAATTTCATAGAGAACAGTAAAGTTTATGGAACTTGATGATTACAAACATCTTTTAGAACTGTGCGTTGCGCTGATCATGTTGCAGTTTTATTTTTGACAGTTTCAAATTATAGAATTGACGAGTAGTTTAAAACAATTTTGAAACTCAGCATTGCGAACGGCCTTAGAGATACAAAAATGTTTCTTCAACAAGGTTACTTGAAATTAACTCATCTACAGCTTTGCTGAAAATCATGTGGCATAAGAAAGTTACTTTATGAACGGAAAATAATTTGAGGACAATTGATTAAGGATTACAATCGCCAAAAAAGGGACTTTTTAAGCAACAAAAACTTCAACGAAGACACAAAACGTTTTGTGTGAAATATCAAGACCAAAAATTGAAAAGGCATCAACTCCATTTTGTAAACAAACCTTGTAAGGCCATTTTCTCGCGAACCGAAGTCCGCCAAGGCAAAACAACAGAATGAACCGGTAGGGAAAATTCTCCTCTACCCGATTGTGGTTTAGGTTTCCGAATGTAGGTTTCGGTTCACGAGAAAATGGCCTTCATGGTTTGTTTACAAAATGGAGTTGAGGCCATTTCAATTGTTGGTCTTGATATATTAGCGCTAGTGTAAGCCGGTCTTAACCTGACACTTAACGAGTCAGCAAGCTATGTGCTGTAAACGCAAGCCGGTAAACGGAGGTCTCCATGGCAACGCTTCATAAACACATACGGGCAACTCTCCACTCACTTTCGGACCAGCTCTTCTCAAGGTAAGTCGCACACGTTTAAATATTAAAGCAACAGTTCTAGGACTATTTTCCTGCTAAATTCTCATCCTGGACCGCTGTGCATTGGTGCAATTTATTCTGATGTAACCCTGTTTTTATCGATGCATCATGTCAGATTGAAAAAATCTCTCGTCATTACATTCTTTGGGTTCCTAAAATGTGTTTTCTAAAATGTCTCAAAGTATATTGCACCACAGGTTTCATCGCACGAATAACAGGATATCGAAAACGACACCACACATAAAAAAAATCTGAATTTTAACTCCCTCCGTTTAATTTTGAGCTATACTTGGCATAAACAGCGAAATACAAGCTTGTATACAATATTGCTAATTTATGCAACACACGAAATATCGCGTAAATTTATGATAAATCTAGCGTTTATTTTATGTGCGCTATATCTCGCAGAAAATTTACATGAATTTTTCGAACAGTGCAGCTATTCACAACCCAATGTCAGGGTTTTTTGGTCCTACCAAAGGAGGCAATCATTAAAATGTTTCGAAAAGCAGCTCTCTTTACTTCAATAGTTAATGTTTCACTACGTGAGACAATTCAAAACTCAATATTGCTATGTAATCGCAGTAAGAGACTGTATCAAACTATGATAGCATGTGTAGTTCAAACCTGAGTACTGCGGAGTAAATCGATTTCATTTTGCAAGCCAATGGAAAACTGCTTGAAAATTTGTTCAAGTTTAAAATTGTTTTGTTCTTTCTCAGTTGATTCCCGCCAAAAGCTCTGAGCCAGGAGTGCTCGAGCCCCCATGACTCTATCAAAGTTTGGTTAAATACATGTTTCGCCAAAATATGTTTTACTGTGATTGAAAACACAGCTGAGTCATAAAAACTATGCTGGTTTTTATACTTTCATCATTGAGCCTGTTGGTTTTTGTCTTTGAACTTACAATTAATAATAAGTTATGAAAAAGTGTGAATCATTTTTATGAGATTGCAATGCTTGGCGAGAGGTAAGAACAGTAACTGAGTTTGTTGCTTTTGAATGTTTGACTCCCGTTTGACAGTTCTGACTGGCTCCCAAGTGACAAGCATATTGAGTGAGTCCGCAGTACCCAGGTTCAAACTATAGATTCCATAGATAAGCGGAGGAACAAAAAGTTGTTTTGGCAACCATGAACCAGTTTTGTTTTGTTTCGTGCGTAACAGTTCAAAATGAAGTGCACAGCAAATCTTTGCAACAATGAACCGAGGAATAGTTTGCTTTATCTTTCTTTCTTCCGTTGTCCGCGAAATAAATCGTAATGTGGAGTGTGGAAAGCGTTTTGTGCTCATAATATTACAATACTTAGCCCTCAAACAACACCATGATGACGTCATGCTCGTTTGGCTACACTAATTGACAGTTCGTTTGGCTACATTTTACTTTGCCTCCTCTTATAAATGGAATGTATAGTATCTATAGTTCAAACTACACTGGAGTCGCTTTTTACGAGGGGGATGCGAGCCGCGTAAAACAAAGCTTGTAAAAAAACCGCGTAAATTCCGAAATCAGCGTAAAAAAATCGCGTATAAGAAACCACGTAATTTCCAAAATCTGTGTAAAAAAAACCGCATAATTTCCGGAATCCACGTAAAAAAGCGCCTAAATTTCAAAATCCATGAATGAAAAACTGCGTAAACTCCAAAATCTACGAGGGTGGCCTATAAAAAAATTATCACTTTTTCAAAATGAAACACCCTGCAAGAAGGAAACATAGGGGAGTTTACGTATTCTCGGCAACCTAAGCAGCGACCTTCTTTCTATAGCCTTTTTCTCTAAGGAACGCACACATATGCAGTATTGGTTTGTTTACAATCTTTTGCTGCCAGCTGCTCTAACAATTTCAGTCGAAAGAATTGTTAAAAACTGTTTTGAAACGCTTTTACAAAGCTCCAATCTTCTCTAGTGAGAGCGAGTATTGTCGGCAACCAGTTTTTCTTCGACAACCGTTCCATTTGAACTGCATGTAAATCTGCTGTTCTATTATCGGCAACTCAAAATCAGCTACAATTTGTAGTGCGTGTGTTTCATTTCAAGAAAACCCTGCTAGATTGCTTTTTCTCAGTGGTAAAAATATAGTCAAATTGAAGCTGAAAGCATAAAGAATCGTTTGCATGCATTCAGCGAAGTGTTTTCGTAAGAAAATCCAGTGAAAATAGTGTTTCAATTTGGGTTGCCGAAAA